CCAATATGACAGGTTAACTTATCTGAAAGCCAGTTGGTTGCTGGTTTCTGCAACTTTATTAAATAAAGCTGAAAAGGTGGTCACCTGAGAATTTGAACTCACATAGGAGCGAACGGACGTTATCCGCTCTGCTCCCCGCTCTCCATCTTGAAGCTCTTCAGACAGAGGTGGCCAGCAAGGAGTGAGGTACACGGTGGGGGGGGGACACCTCCAGGCTGCATCCATGTGATCTCGGTGACATCGCCGAGATCACTTGTAAATAAACAAGCGGCTTCCCTGCTCTACATTCAGCCCTGCTTGCCCAAAGCAGGGCTAAATATAGAAAACAACTACCCGCCCAGTGCTCGGAAAAATGTGCTGCATCCCCCCCCCCTGCTGCCGCGCCCCTCCCCCTCCGTAGCTGCTGCCGGTTATCTCGGGCACCGCTGTCCCCCCTGCGGTGCCCGGGGGGACAAAAACATTTTTTTAAAAAAAAATCATTAAAATCTCATATTAAAAAAATAAACCACCCAAAAAAGTTTCACGTCCCCACCCCCGCGCACTTACACGCGTAAATACGCGTCGGGCCTGCATGCTTAAACGATTGTGCCGCACGTTACATATCGCCGCGAACGTCACAGTGAGAGCAATAATTCTAGGCCCATCAATCACTGATAACACTAAACTGATGAGCGGTAAAAGCTTTTAAAGCGTCGCCTATGGCCAATTTTAGGCAAGGTCGTTTTTTGCGATTTTGTGGGCGCACGCAATTTTAAAGCTTGACATGTTTGGTGTCTATTTACCCGACGTGACCCCGACTTTTATATTTTACCAAAAATATGGGTAATAATAAATGTTTTATAACAGAACGTAGGGAAAACTTTTTTTCCCCAAAATTTACGGTACTTTTTTCGTTATATAGTAAAAATGAAAACCCGCAGTGGTAATTAACCCCTTCATGACTGGCCTTTTTTTCATTTTTTTGCACCCATGTTATATTCCACATTTTAGGCCTGAAAATTACTTAAAACCCCCACACATTATATATTTTCTGAATGCCAAGACCCTATACAATATAATGGTGGTAGTTGCAAATTTTTATGTTGCTCAATATTAGCGCAACTCCTTATTAAACCCCAAAATTTAGTGATAAATTTAATTAAATGCCTCAAAACACAACAAAATACCCATTTTACCCATTAAATGAAATATAAAAGATTAGGTTACAACGAGTAAAACGAAACAGGGAGGGGATTGATGAACGGAAGTTCGACGACCTCCTCCCCAGCTCCCCGCGGACGGCGGTCCCGGGCCCGTAGGAGGGGCAACAGAGCCCGAGAAGCGCGGCGGCGGTGTCCGGCGGGGGGGGCCTTCTTCGGGACACAGCAGCGATCTGGCGACAGGTAAGTCGCCAGAATCGCTTCTGTTGTAAAGCCGACAGTCGGCTTTACAAGTTTAAACAGACTCCCGGCGGCAAAAGTCGCCGGGAGTCTGTTTAAACAGCCCCGATGCTGGCGACGTACACTGTACGTCGTCAGTCACAAAAGGGTTAAATACCACTAAAAGAAAGCTCTATCTGTCCCTAAAAAATGGTATAACATTAATTTCAGTACAGCGTTGCATGACGGAATAAACATCAAAGTACTGCAGCGCTAAATACTGAAAAATGGCCTGGACAGGAAGGGGGTTTAAAACCCTGGTCAGCAAGTGGTTAAAAATGACAGCTGTCTTGTAACTTTTGAGTTTTTCTCTAGTCTAGTCTTGAAGCTGGAAAAGTATCATTAGCTATTAGATATCCTTGACTCAGGTATTGCTATTTAAGATTTATTTATTACAGTCCTGCTTTTTGCACAGGCTACTACTACAGCTTTCTTGGTGTGTAGGTGACACTTTGTAAAAAACTATGCTGCACCTAAAATGATACATCATCCTCCCATTCATATTTAAGAATGTGGCTTTGCAGCATCAGGGTCCTAGCTAACCATTAAAGAAAACATCAAATAAGGGTTGGACTGCCCTCTAGGCTTTCACACCAGTTGGTTAACAAAGAATAGTTTGATGTGTTCAGAATAGTGTGGTAATCCATTCTAGCTAGACCCTCTCCTTCACCCATAATGTGACTAGTATAACCTGAAATCTAATGGCCTGCCATAATTACTGTACTATGCACCTTTGTTTGTGATACTAGCTGAGCTCATATTTCCAGTTCATTGTACACAGTAGCTTTATATACTGCTGTGTGTGTGCTCTGCAACACCCTAGAATACATTTTATTTCAACTTTTTATCAACTTACCTTCTACTACTCTGGGAACACTGAAAATTGTGACCCAACACTGACCCAACAGTTTTCATGGCGTGGCTGGTACAGTAATTTAGTTTTATACAGTATTATCACCAATGCCGACCTCATCCATTCCTTCTGGGTGATGTTTGGCTGCCCCTGGTTAATGGTTCCATTGGATAAAGCCAACCTCACAGGATAGATGACATTTGTTCCCATGGTCCCAAGTTCAACACTAGTGGCACCTTGGGAACATTATTATAATGCCAGTGTGCATGTACATTTGGATAATCTGCATCTGGCGGGTAAGGTGACCTCGCTGACAGAGGAGGTAAACAAAAGGCTTCAGAGACAAAGCAAATACTGTGTGGAGGTCAGTGGCAAATACAGATCTCAGAGGACTGCTCTGCTGAACAACTGTTGGGCCTTTTCCAAAGCATTTCATCCTTTAGTACATTTCAGTCCAGCTAGAGTTAGTTTTACACCTGAAGCTTGCCAAGAGTAAATTTAAAAGCTTCTTCCTATTCCACACTGTGTGCAGGCTGCTAATGCTGGTGGCACTGGTAGATATACAATTGTGTGGTTTGAACAGTTGCATCCTTAACCAGTTCGTGACGGGAGACGTACAGTGTACATCCCGGCACTTTGTGCCTATATGACTGGCCACGTACACTGTACGTGATGAGTTATATCAGGCTTTGTAATGCTGGTAACAGCTGATTCTCAGCAGTTGCCAGTCATTAATGAATGCCTCAGTATTGAGGAATTCATTAATGAAATAATTAAGCTTTTTGTAGAAGCTTCTTCCTTTCAGTAATGAAAGAATGAAGCCGTTACATGCAAATACAGGACCGCAATTTGCGATCCCGTATTTGACAGCTGAAAATAGCAGAGAGGTAGCAGTGACTTACCTCACCTCTCTGCTATTTGTTTTGACAGCTCAAGAGCCCGATGTTTAGATACATTTCACTCAAAAGATACAATGTATCTTTTGAGTGAAATGTATCAGTTCACGATCAAAGAGCTTTTAGGGAGATCTGAATCTGACTAAAGTCAGGATCAGTCTCTAAGGTTATTATTAGCTGTTCCTAAGTTTGGATCAGCCTAATAGCCAACATTTGTAAAAATGTCCTCTAAAAAATTATATATAATATGTGTGGGTACATTTAGTAAGAAAGTATATTACTGCTGTGGAAGAATCACGCAGCAACAATGTAAAAAGTGTGTCAGTCATTTATGAACAGAAACTGAAAACTAGCTCAGTAATGAAGGGGTTAAAGATTGTTATCTCAGCCTCTATGAAAAGGTATACAGAACAAGCATGATTCAGGTCTTCAATAGGTCTGTCCTGAATTGACTTGATGGGTTTGTAAGTTTTATGCCCCTGTGTACCAGCACACACGGTAAATCCAATCCTCGTAAATAACTTGTGTGATATGTGTATTAGCATCTCTTGGGACTTTTTAGGTTATTTCACAGGGAAATGCATTCAGAAGCAGTCAAATAATCTAGAATAAGTGGGAGTAGCTCACACATTAGAATGTAATTGTTGTGCATAGGTAGAAAAGAGTGGGTAGGGGTTAGATCCTCTCATGTTTAACTGGTGTGTTAAGGTTCCCTTTGTTTTCTGTTGCTCAAATGGAACATTAACAGCAAACCAAACCACAATTTGTAACCCTTCCACACTCTATCCCAGGGGTGCCCACAAGGTCGATCGCGATCTACCAGTCGATCGCGATGTCCTCTCCTCCCGCCACTTCTCTGGATCCCCGCTGCTCTCCCCAGCGGGGACTCCAGACGAAAAATAGTGGGCGCCTCTGCTCTATCCCAATGTAAAAAAGGCTTTTCCAGTAAAACCACAACATGACTGTGGGTCCTCCAACTAGAAACAGAACTGGGCTTTATGTGCACCATAATATCTGCAATGTCTGAATCTGCTGAGAAATGGAACAACAGAGCCCGGGATTTTACTTCTAAGACCTTTCTGGCGGTCTCATTTATTACATGGTTTGTAAGAAGAACAGCCTGGGTCTGATATATAAAAACTTAATATACTGTATATTACATAGCAGTCAACAGTGATAATTGCTCAACTTTCATTCCTCCAATGCAGGTTTGAAAAAGCTGATCTATATCTTTGTGTCAACACAGGCAGTTCCTCCTTCAAACTCTTCCTAAAGAAGGGCGTGTGTTATGAAATGTAGAGTTCACTATACAGCAGTTTTGAATGAAGCCTAAAGCTTAACTCCAGCCAAAATGTATTTTGTTTTGGATAGGCTGTGTAAGGGTTAGAGCCTTTGTCAAATTATTGCGGTCTGTGTTTCTGTTGGAGAGATTTCTCATCACTTCCTGGATATCTCTCCAAGAGGGACATGGACCAAAGCAAATGTTAACAGGGTAAGTGACGAAGGGATAGAGCTTCTGACAGTGGTTTCATTGCTGTCTGTGCCTCCATGTCCTGGTGATATCAGCCCCCCATTTCTTTTTATGGACATTACAAAGACAAGACGTTGAGGGACCATCTCCTCAGTAGGGTCACAGACAAATGCAAATACCTGACAGAAATTCTAACTCTTCCCTGCTTATGTGTTAACTAGATCCCGTGGCTTGGCTGAGGTAGAAGACTGAAACACACACTTCATCAATGACCATTTCCAAGTTCAACCCTCCCCCTTCACCCCAGAAAAAAGAAAGACAAGACCCAGAATGCATTGCAACACGTAATTACAAAGCTTACAGTTTATTGGTGGAAAGGACATTCGGGCCTCGAAAAACGGGACCATAAAAAATAAAACAAAGCATGTGGGGGGAGGAATATCTAGAAAACAGGGAACAACATGGATTTAGGGAGGAGATTTCAGAGGGTAACGGACAGAGGGCAAGGAGGTGGGCGGTTAGATTATTCATTCCCCCCAACTCCATTCTCACGTTATCACCCTCCTGCCATTGATCTGAGGTAAGTTGTGTGTGTATATGATGTTTAATATTAATAACTTAGCCTATTTTACTGAAGTAAAAGCTTATAAAAACAAAAATATATAGGAGGGGTGGGGGAATCAGCCTTATCCGCATAGAAAGAGTTAACATACCAAAAAGCCCTGAGCTTGCACTCCCCTCCATAGAACCATTCCACTGCCATATTTATAAGTCAGGCAGTGGGACAGCCTTACAAGTGCTAACACTCTCTGAAAATTCTGGGTGCAGACTGACTCCCCCCCCACCTCAACATTGAAAGAGCAGTTCAATTCAAGAAATATCAGGAGCACAACACTATAGAGAAGGAAATGGGAGAAAGACATTAAAAAACCCTAAATGTTAGCATGGCATTTTCATTTTTTTCTTTTTTTTTAATACAGCATTTATAGGCTCTCTGCATATAAAGATTACAGTAAAAAAATAGACAGGCAATATTTCTTTGTAGGATAGGGGGGAAACGGAGAGAAATTGGAAAAGAGAAGGGTTTGGGGGAGTCCCTGAAAAGATACATAGACACAGACATTACTAGACAACAGTTAACCCCCTTTGTTTTTTTGTTTTTCTTGTTTCATAGAACATCAAAGCATAGATAAGTTTGCAGAAGGGGGTGAATTCCCCTTCCTAATGGCATGAAGAGGGAAAGAAACCTCCCATTTGGGGTAAACAATTCCTTGGGTTTATACATTTTTCCAATTTAAAAAAAAACAACAAAAAGGCAAAATAAGTAAGTGGAAATCTACTCTCTTTGCTATCAACACTAAACTTAATATAAATTCATGTATAGCATTTTAGAGATTGGCACCATTGCTTGGCTTTCATTGCCAATTGTTTAAACCATTAGTGCCATGCTGTAAAAACAGATTTTTTTGATATATACTCATCTAAAGGGTGCAAGAGGTTGCTTTGGGCTCATATATAACAAATGGAGTAATGATAAAGCATAGACATTCTGCAGAGCAATTCGATCGGATGATTTCATTTTGTAAGCTCAAGTAGCGAAAAGACAGGTGGAAGTTTTCGCTGCTGCAGACCACACCTTCACTTTATCTTCTCTCCAGTTTTTTTGGGCCCCTTCTTGCTACACATTTTGTACATCGTGTCTATAAGGCATTTTGATAAGTGAACACCAGGCAATGCTGCTATACTCTGTAGTACTATGTATTGCAAATATTAAGTTTAGAAAAGTATATTTCCACCTCCAAATTCAATTATAAGGCAGTGCTGACCAACTATGGTGTGTGGTGCTTTGCAAAACAAAAACTATAAAAAACGGAAAGAACACTACTAAAAAAAATGGGAGAAAAGCTAAATATATTGGGCTAAGAAGACACTTAAATGATAACAATAGACCTCAAGGAGGTGTGTCGAATAATCTTGGCCTAATAGAGAGCTATAGGACTGCCTGACGCTGTCCTACATTTCAATATAAACCCAGTATTGCCTTACCCCTCTATATGCTAAATTCTTAACACTCTATGGGGCAACAAGTGTAAAGACTAGAGAGTTGAGAAGAATATCTACAGGCCACTCTACATTAATATGAAACACTAACTAAGCCTGACCTGATATGTTCCAGACAAAAGGTCACCCTATACTAGATAGGAGCCCAGCACTAAGTCTATCCTGATGGCCAATGCTCAAGTAATCCCTTATACTATACATATGGCGTAGGCTGGGCCTATGGCATGTGAATCCTCCAGTCTTGCCCATAATAGATGCCAGGCTTGCTCATTCCTAGTCTATATATTATTCAGAATATAAAGTTCTTTAGTGTAAGCAAACCGTGCCTGAGTCTAGGGAGAGGACAGGGGTAAGTTAGGATGGGGCTGAGGACAGATAAGGCAATATAAATGGGTTGTGCATGTCAGTGGTTGGGGTATCAACCTGGTTATTTGGGATAAGTAAAAAGTGCCATATAAAGGGGAATTTTTGTTACCCCCACTAGCACCCCCATAGCCAGTCACCATCCATTCAATACGTCTGCACTGATAAAACCTACTGTAAAATCTCAAACAACCTATACAACCTAGGTAAATGCTTATATGTCCAATGTCATCTTTCCTCTCCTCAAACCACACTTCCTGTACAACCAGAGGTTCCTTTGAGGCATACACATGGAATAAACAACAGGGTTTACAACAAAATCTGGGTTTTTTACTAAGTACACAAGAGTCCCTTTCGTGAAAAGGGCAGTGAGCTGACCTAGAAAAAAAACAACAAAACATATATAAAAAAAAGAAAACAGCAACTATAAAACCACTGGGAATCCTAATATAGGACCTAGAGGATGAACCCTTATAGGGGCTGGGAAAAAAAAACATTGCAAAATGATCCGTTACCCTATGTTGTCTGTGGAATTTTGTAAGCTCACTGAAAGTACACAGAGGTAGGTGGAGGGAAAGTAAAAATGCAATTTTCTTTATACAGAAAGTTTACTGAAAAAGAACCCCAAGTGTGAGTATAAATGACCCCTGCACATAGCTGTGGTAGAACAAGACATTAATATCACCTACAAAGATACCTAACTGATGGGATCAAAGGCAATATGAGAACTCACAACCCCCAAAGAACATGACATAAGCTCCCCCCGAGTGGTGGGGGTGTGTTATAACGGCACAGAGATGAATGTGGCACTGCAACGTCACGGGTGACTAATAAACCTGCAGATCAATCAGCAAATGGTGCATGCATCACAAGCAAGGCTGCGAGATAATTTATACCACCTAATGTATTCTGCATAAACTCTGTAGGATCTGAGGTGTTGGTAGATGCTGGTGTGTGACATGGTAGGTACCACAGCAGGTTAAAAAAATGAAGAGACTGGGCAGTCTGTACACAGGGAAGAACCAGAATAAAATGTGGGAAATCTCTGCTCCGGAACCCCCCCCAGATATTGGGAAGCAAACACTGAAAAAGTTGCCCTATTTTGGCATGAGGTGGGTGCTGTCCACTGCATGCCCTACCAAGGATAGTTACGTTTAATACTTTTAGATAGATTTAAAAGGCCTAAAAAACAATCAAAATGTATCGCGCACTGATCTGACTTCAGTAGACAGATCCTGCTTCTAGGAATCACATTATCCTGCACTGCATTACTCAATACCCTTGTAGGGCTCAGTTGCTGTTCTACCAGCCTTAAAAGCAACCGATCGGAAACAATCTTTCAGCACTTTATCATAGTTAGTGTGAACTGCATTTGGTTGCTGTGGGTAGGTATATCTAAACAAATAAAAATCAGTCTTCCTGGAGTGCTGATTCAGACAAGTGGTGTGTGGCATGCCCATGATATTTCAAGCTGTGCCGATTCGTGTGGGTGGAAAGAGCCGTCATTTACACTTGGTGTAGGTGGTTATAGTAAAAGACAAAGGTGTATACACCGACCCATTCCAATGTATTGTCTGTTACTCCACTGTCTTCCAGAACGTAAAATAGAGCCTGTTACTCCTGTGGGAATGCATGTCACAATGCAGAGGGGTGAACTGTTGCTGTGCTAGGCCTTCCTTGACATGGGCACCATACTTCCACACAGAAGACAACTACAATGGTTGTTTGATGACTGCAAATACATTAACAATCGTAGCTTGGTATCTCTGTGCCATGAAAGTCGCCAGTGGCCCAGTTATCAGGTTTTGTTCTATTATCTGATAATGGGGTCACATATGGTGCCTTTTCTGCACTTTAAACAAATTAGGACACGAGCCCTCATTTATGAAAGGATCATTCCATCCAAAACGGATATTTCAATTTATGGGAGATGCTGGAGACTGCCTACATATCTCTTGGGCACCCCAGGATCAACATTTTTACACTTGAGCACTCCAAAAGACAGGACTATCTCCAAACACAAAACCTGCAGTTCCATTGTGCAGACTCTCAGTGATGCACAGCACAAGCTGTGCATGTCTTGTTACAGCAAACATCCCATAGGATTCTATTTATTGTATCAACAATAACACCAAAACTTAATAAAATATATTTAAAACTATCAAGAATGCAAGATACGGTCAAGATTTGGTTTTATTTGTGTTGACTATTAGAATGCCGAGTGCTTCTTTGTGATCGGCAGCTATTATGAGAGGGTCTCCTGCTCCCTGTTGGATATGTATCTATTTTATATTACAGAGAATGCAACAGGAGATAGGAAATGGCTCAAGGTAGGGCTGGAACTATGGCAGAGTAATCCTGCCACTGTACTCCACAATACATGTAGAAAGTCAGTGACCAATGTCTGAAATATCACTTTTGGGTGGAATAAATCTCATGGGAAACTGTCTTAGTTTGCGTTGCCTGTGTCATCCAGTCAAACTCTCCATGTCAGTCCCAGTATGAAGAGAATGAATGAAAGGATATTCTTAGTATTTGCTGTGGGCAATGCAAACCGTAAACAGTTCTTTTTTCAGCACTTTGATAAATGAGGCTCTCTGTACAGAAGTATTAACAGCACAGGGCTGCAGTACAGTCCGTACAGGATACAACCCGATAACAGTCTTTTGCATATGCATAAATAGGGACAGTCTCTACCTGCATAGCTGTACACAGTGCTTACTATGCTGCTAAACTCCCGCTAATACCGCTCTACAAAAATATAGAATAGTGCATCAATATTCGTACTCTGTCACTCATACTCATACGTAGAATCATTTTTGTATACTATTGACTTAATGGCAGCATACCAATATATTATGGTGACAAAAGGTCTTTATTACACCAAAATACTGACCTAAATAAATGGCGTTCCTGTACTGACAAGAGTATGATAACACGTATTATATGGACTGGCACAATTGGCAGTTTTTTTAAACAAACTTGTTGGAAGTTGTTGCTGCTTTCACTTAATTTGCGGCTTCCAGGACACCGATAGACTGCATTTCATATATGCTTGTTCAATCATGAGAGGGCCGATTCAACCACATTCTGGAAACAGGAAGGCCATGGGCTTGATCTTTGTAGTATTTTGAAGGCAACATCTTCTATGTAAGCGTGCACTTAGGGGTCAATTTATAGATGTCTCCATACAAGATTCACACAATTTTCATCCAGGATTTACTAATTTTTTCTATTAAAAAGGGGGCGAAACTTGGGTTGAGTGAATCTTATGTGAGAACACTAAAATAAACCCCTCAGTGTTAAAGTATAAGTCTAGCCAAAACTTTTTTTTTTTTTTTTAAAGTTTGGAAAGAGCAGGAAAAGTGGCAAATTACAAGTACCCGTAAATCGTCTGTGAGATCTCTCAGATGGATGCTTGTCCTCTAGCTCATGGAAGTAACGTGTAAGGCCCCATGGACACAGGCTCCTGCATTAAACACAGGAAAAGTTATGTGAGAAGTATAAAAAAAATGTATGCTTCCCAGATAATTTTTCCTGTTCTTAGATGTTTCTGGCTTTAGTTACGTTTACATGTGTTTAGCAGTGTGCAATGCGGCTAAATGGTCCCAGGACATGGAAAACTCATGTTAGTGTAGACACAGCTAGACTGAATAGGCGGGGAGAGATAGAATGGGTTCTATTCCGTTAGATCATTTCCAATCCTCCTGGAATCCCATTTAAAGGGACTGTAAACTCGGGAGCTAAATCTTAAAAATGCATTCATGTACCTTAACTAATAACAAGAATGTATCTTATTTGTGTGTCACTCAGCTATAGATCCTGAAATCATCTCTGAATGGTGCTGACACTGTCCTTCCTTCTGGAGGGTAGCTACTTTTGTTCCCCATGGTCCCTGTGTGTGTTGTAAAGTAGCCGCCACTCCAACCTCACTTCTGTGATGGACTACAATATCAATACAAATTAGTAAACTAAATGTGAGAATGTAGTCTATCACAGGAGTGAGCTTGGAGCGGTGACTACTTT